ATTAATTCATGAAAAATTTTGGTATTATTTTGGGATCGTGCCTAGATAGATTTATATTAGTTAAGTGAACCACAATACAAATAAGTATATAAACGGAATACAAACCTTCCATGACGGCACTTTACATACTGCTTCGACACATTTGGGAAATGCATCAACAGTTCGTGGAATTACAATATCCGTTAAACCAAGCATGCATATTGTGTTTTCAAATAAATAGGATGCTACAAATAATGATAATGAAAGTTCTGGGGGAGTATATAGCAACGTTAGCTTATTATTAGCACAATTACAAAAGCTAGGATAGGACTATTCACCATTCGTTTGAATCGCATATATCTCAAACCTATGAATGTCTGGACGTGCGACAGTTGGCAAGGCTAGATATGCACTGGCGAGTAACACCTTTGAGCAATATTCCAATTTTGTTAAATCATTCTTTCTTTTGTTGGCGTTGTCGTATCTTCCATTCTCCTGAATTAATACTTCTTGACTGATTGACATGATAGTCGCTCTTGAGTCCATTCTTGGGCCACTTTTTGTTTGAATTTGGGCAAGTTTTTTCAACTTATCATATGCTACAGATGAAACCTCCCCGCTGAATTGTGTAATAAAAATTAATCATCACAAAAAGTATATAATAGTACCTTGCAGTTTAAACATACCTGGAAATTCGAATATCATCTTTCTCCATAAATGCATAGCATAAAAGTGGGGTCCATACATATGAATTATATTCGGATTCAGTGAGAGATCGTGCTAACACATCATTTGAATAAATATTATACCTGTTTATAAAAAATTAAATATTTAGTATGAAAGGGTTCACATTTTGAAAATATAACAATGTGATATGAAATCAGAAAGCTTTTTATACATATGATTGAAAAACTGGTAAGCATAACGAGTATTAAAATTAAGGTTTGAACAATCATGGACTGAATTCTTGTGTAGAGTTTGACGCAATATATCTAACGACATCTGTAAAATAAAGTTAGTTTAATCTGGCAGTCTTTTAATTGTGCAATAAACATGTAAACTTACACAATCTTGAAATTTGTTCAGAAATTCCATTACTTCGTCTTCAATGCAATTGCAAATATATCTATTCCGATCTTTTTTTCATTATCAAAATATATTGTGTCATCATCATCATTTTCCATTTGTTTTTGTATATATGTGATCATGGATGATGGCAAGGGTTGTATACATGAATTATTATGGAAATTTACAACACCAATACTCAATGGCCTGATAAAATAAAATGCATATTAATAGAAAATCAAAAATATAGTATATCTGCAATATAAAAAATTTCTTACGTTTTAATATTTTCGTTATCTTTGAAAAGATTAATAATATCAATGTCTTTCCATAGCCATTTATGTCTTTTTAATGGGCACAAACGTAAATTCGTTAACAACTCTTGTGCAAGGTCATGCTGTATATATTTAGGTTTATTTCTTGTAACCTTGCGTTTTGGCGCAATATCATTTTGTTTATTATTATCCACGGACTCTGGAATAGACGTTTGCTGTACTTCATGACTCGCAGATTCTAAAATATTATTATTATCCACAGATTCTGATATAGGCCTTTGATATACTTCGAGATTGCTTTGTTTGTCATTATCCACAGATTCTAAGATATCGTCATTATCACCAACACCAGAATTTCTTATCTCAAGAAAGACATTTGTAAGTGATTTTGGTATAATGTCAGAGTCCGATGAAGAAGATTCTTCATTATCAAGTCCCAGTTCACTATATAATTCCGTTTCAAAAATTCTGACCTATGTTCCGAAAGGAAGTCAGAAGATTAAAAGATATTTCTTAGATAAATTTAAGTTATATACTAACCTTATTTGGAGGAGTTGTATAATTTTCGCAAGCTCGCTTACATCCAATTGCTGAACCAGACGTTGAGTTATCGATCTGATTTCCCTGATTTCCTGACAATTTCTGTGAATATTATTAGTATAGTAAAAAAAATATATTTTGTTACTAACAATATTTCATACCAATGTATTGTTGATGTTTCCAATGGTATTATCAATATTTTCAATTGCAGTTTTAAGAGTCTCCGCAGAGATGTTTATCAACGAGCTAGTACCTTCAATCTGTAATCAATAAAATGAAATACAATTAATATAAAGCCCAACTTTATAAATAGATAAGAAAAACTACAACCTCTACACTCTGTAGCTGATCCCGTAGCTCAATATTCAGTTCAATTCTTTTCCAAAAAGCATCGACATTGCAATAGTTTCACGATGACCCTCAAAAATAGAAAGAAATTAATATATTAATAAAAGTATGATCCAACTGGTTCACATAGAATTAGTGTACTAAATACAACAGACATTCCGTCCATAAGGTTTACAACATTCCGTTGTTTCACCGTAGTTGCAAAGAGTTCTATTTCTCATAGCAGACATTCCGTCCATAAGGTAGACAACGTTCCGTTGACATCATAGCTATGAAAGACCCTCTGTTAACCAGTGAACAATAATATGAAAAACAGGCAAATACCTTAAAAATATTTTTCATTTTAATTACAGCTTCCTTCATTTCCTTTGAGCCATCTTTCGCGATAAGATCAAGATCATTCCGCAACTTGTATGCCTCCTTCATAAAAGAGAAAGTGAAGTCAACTTGCTTCGAACGATACTCATAAAAATCAAGAAACCGATAGTCTTGGGGGTTTGTTTCATCGAAATACGCGCACCACCTGGTAGACATTGATTGTTTTTTGATGATAAAAACGCGGTACAAAGAAGATGCATTACACGTGGTACAAAACTGTGACAAAATGTCACGATCAAAATTACTGCGCCCGAAAATATGTGCGCGTGAAAAATTTCACGCTCTTTTGCCAAGGCACTTCATATGCAGGTTGATATATATCATACAAAAATAAAAATAAATTCGCTTAAATGTTGCAAATAAAATATATAGGCATTTAAGTGCCAGGTAAATAAATCAGAATAAAATACACATGTTCCACGAATTTCTATGCCGATTCAGGTGACAAGTATTTAGATAATACCGATCCTGAGCATGTTTCATAAATGATCCGCCTGGTCGATGGAGGTATTTAATTACAGCATTTTGGATTATTTTAGCAGAATTAATTTGTTTTCTCCGTAAACGATATGCCTGCTGGATAATTAATGATGCACGATTTTCTTTATGCAATGCTAGTTGAAGTTTAAAATCCCTATATTTAGGGTCATTACCTATTTGTTTATGAGTGGTTAAATCATTTTCAACACGAAATACAAAATTTTCCCAGTAATCTCTACTATTTATTTCATATCCTAGTTTTAATAAATGATTGCGTATATATTTTGGTGAATAATTTTTTGCAAACCGTAATCATGCTTCTGACGTTTTAATAATGTTAACAATATAATTTTCACCATATTCGCTCAACTTATCTCATACTTTGTTATAACTCATATTTGATATCTCAAATGTGTGGATTTTATGTGTCTTTGGCACTAGCTCCACTATTAACTTAGACTTTTTATTTAATAGATAATCAATGGAGCTAACCGAAAAAATATATATGGCAGATGGGTAGATCGACTCGCTTTCCCTACATTTGATAAATAAAAAATCTCGAAATGAAATTAATAGAATTAGCACATGGTTTAGTTATGTATCTGTCTCTGGATCTTTATATAATTTTAGTCATCAGCTTGCACTAATTTACTCAATTCTGATCTAAAAATATTCTTTGCAATTCGT